TCCTCCTCTCTATTTCTGCGGTCTCTCCCTTAGTTTCCGCGGCAACCAGATCCGAACCAGATTCCTTTATTTCGTTTTCCCTCGTATCGTTTCCCCTGACCGTGCTCCTCGTTCAACGTTCGTCGTTCGTCGTTCGTCGTTTGTCGTTCATCGTTCGTCGCTTGGTGGACACGAACCGCTCGAGTTCCTCGAACCAGGGGCCGGTCGACTACACATTATCGAACTTGGTCGATACGCGCACGCCGTTCCTCGTCGTCTTCCTCTTCGTCCCGTTCCGGCCTGTCGTCGCGACGTGGTCGCCGACCAGCGTCCTCCGGGCGTGCCAACTTGTTCAGTGCGGACGCGATCACGCGGTCGGATGCACACGCAACCTTATTCCCGCTGGAGATGGTGCTCTGCGACGTCTGCGACAACAAAGGTGAGAGATCTCTTGGTAACGTGCTTACGATATTCCCTGCTTCGATCGCGTACGATTAACCAAACCACGAGTGAGTTTGCTCGTCGTTCAAATTTGACGAGCTTACGTAAGTTGTATCGTATAAACGATAAACTTGTTCGACGAGAGAAGAATTTCTTTAACGCTGACTTTGCGACCAAGTCTTTTTTGTCTCTCTGAGTCGAATGCGCGATGACGGATGCGCGTTTCTTTTTCTTTTCTTTCCTTTTTTTTCGTATCGATATTAACGATATCACGCGACTCTCCTCGTCCCCCCAACGGAGGAGGGACGAATAAATCGGTGCCGTACGGAGCAACGTGGTTTCGATACCGATCGATAAGGAGATTCTCGTGTTTCAGCGTACCGTGTCGTGTCACGAGCGGATTATTTATTACGTTCGTTCGTTCGTTCGTTCGTTCAGACCGAAAGAAAGACGGGAGCATCCAGCCGCCGAAAGGTGAGAGAAATCCTTCCGTGGTAAATGCCTGACATTTTCATCCCGACAAGTTCAACCGCCGTTTCACCCGTTTCGCGAGACGTCTCCGCCAAATTTTTCCCTCCCCCTCCTCCTCCTTTCGAACCGTATGCTAAAACTCTACCGTTGATCGAAATAACCCGTGTTTAAAATGTCAAATATTTTCCAAGGTGCGGCTTCTTCCCATCATAGGTACGCTCCGTTTCATTCATTCGTCATGATGATTCTCGAATTCCTTCCGTATTCCTTCCATGTATTTTTATCATTCTCCGCAAATTTATTCGCAATAGAATCTCTTCGCGTGTGATTATACAACTAACTATTCATTACGAATTATTTTAGAAAGTTCTTAAATTCTCGTGTTGTATTCAGAAATTGGGTCCGGAAGCGAAAATAGATATCGAAAAAAAAATTCCATCGGTGTCCCTGTCCCCTCAACGCGCATCGTGTATCGTGTCTCGCTATTGTACACCATTGGGCGTGCCATAAATTCCGTTCCAAGAAGAGTCCGATTAAAACGGCAGACTAAGCGGCTCTGGAGATTACGAGGACCCGACTCGGTGTAAACAAGCCTCGTTATGCACTTAATTACGAGCACTCAAACTACGTACGAGGGCGAGCGCTCGCGCTATGCGCGCGCGTGTGCGTGTGTGTGCGCGAGCCCGACCACTGTGCTCCATTATATTCGGCCAAGTTTTCTCACGGTCGGCCTCCTGTGTCGTGAGTTATCGAGAAAACTCGGGAAATCGATACTCGAGGAGATTTTCTTGGATCTCAATCCGTTTCGAATTTAGACGGGTCTCGAGAATCGGCGTAATTTCACAGAGATCGCTGACTTTTGTTCCAGCGTTCGAGAGATAGCGGGCACCCCCGTTTACAGCTATTTATAATAACCAAGAGCGATAATGTCAAGTTAATCGATCGAATGCGCGCTTTGTGTTGAGAGAAATCGAGCACAACTCTCCTCTTAAAAGTATCATATGATGATATTGCGCGAATATTACGCGTTCGATCTTTCTTCTTCTTCCTCTTCTTCTCCTCGATTTCTCTCGAGTTTCGAGATTTAGAAGAAGACGATGATTCGGCACGAATCTCGGACGAGAGATTTTCTTTTGAATCGATTCGAAATAGAAATCTATCATTCGAACGTTTGACGCTTCTGTGACGATTCTCGGCAGAAAATGGAACGACGATGAAAGGTGGAAAAAAAAAAGCGGGCATTGTTCGTCGAGCAATTAAATACGCGTTGGTTGCTATGAAGCCGACTGACAATGATTTCACCAGCGGGCGCCTGCTTATCGCGCCTCGTTCCATAGGAAAGAGGTGTTATCGTAGAAAAATCGTATCGGTCGTGTTACGTAGCATCGTATAGATTATTATTACGCGAAAAATTGTCACTGCG